TTCGAGAGAGCTCGAGCATTAAAAAATATTATCATCTGTAAAATGCCGCAAATTGGAAATTACATACTGACTTATGTTTTAAAATCTCAGTGATTTGATCGATGAATTAATTTCTGTCTGTTGGAGGGCTCGAAAATTGAAATGTTTACAATTTTTCGAAAATATTCCCGTCAATGAATCTTGGAGATTCTCCTTAGAATACCACGTGCTCTCCTGTCTATCGTGATCGCCGAAACAAGCTTGCTAAAGTCTTGGAGAAACCCTCTTCGCCCGCTCGGGTAGGATATGACGACCCTTTCCGATCCTCGGTGTTAGCTTTTTTTTGTCTGACGGGTTCGGTACGGACTCGCGCACGGTGTCAGATCGATAGTTTTCCACGCTCTCTGTCGTGGCAATTTTTACCGGTGCTCCCGCCGTGCGGCACCCGTTCGCACCGGTAAGACTGGTTATATCCACGAAGAGTGGCCGCTCGATGAAAGGATCCTCTCGGTAGCTCTTTACGGCCCAGGTTCAATCGATCGTTCCCTTAACGCGCGCCGAGCACCTCGGGATATGTCGCGCAGAAATGCAATCATCATTTCGTGCGCGACTTATTTTACGTCATCGATCACGTCATTATCAGTGTTGCGGTTTATTACGATTGCATCTCTACGGCTATCTGTCTGCTTAAGAAAATCGTCAATTCAGTATCTGGAGTAAAACTTAGTTAGTATTTGTAGGAAACACTACTGAGAAAGTACATGCAGCTTTCGAGCGATTAAACAACCTCAGTTTCCTCGCGGTATCTGCATTCTCGTAATTAGAAGCGGCAACAGTAAAAGATAGCGAAATTTATTTCATATAATAACGTAAAGGAGGGAACCGCGGTGACTCCAACGACGAAACTAACGCGGAAGGCTTGAGAAAGATCATCCTGATAGGAGCACGGGAAATTAATGTAACGAACTGCATCAACGTCAAATATAAATTATAATTTATTTCACATCGTCGCCGTTATTGCTGCTGTCATCGACACGTCGATTGTAATTTCCTCTAAGAATTTTATTCATTTAAAAAATAGAAAGTGCACACAACTTGACGAGGACAGGAGATTGCACTGAGAGACCCATTTTGTTGAATGAAACGAAACAATTGGATTGAATCATTTGTTAACAGAACATGCAATTTGATTGTATAAAACGAAAAATAGATTGCTGAAAAGAAGTTAAATATTACAACTATGTCCATGAGTTGTTATTTGGACAAAATTTCATATTTGAGATAACGTCAATCTCATCGCGTCCTAAATAATTGTGTTTGTTGCGTCAACTAAATTTAGTTGAATATTATGAAAGGATTCTGCGCGTGTTCACTCATACCAAATTTGTGTGTTGATATAACGAAATTGTCCAATTACATTTTTTCGTTGTGTTAACTGAAAGATTTGTTTGCTCATATCTAAACAAGAAATTCAGTCAACTAAACTTTGTTTCATTCAACAAAATGGGCCTTTCAGTGCGTAATCATACAACGATCGAGGAAATCAACACGTTTGCGGATATCTGTATTCGGCGGTGTCATCGGCGCTTTCCGTCGAGGAGGCCAACACGGGTCCTCCGCGGTCGTAGGGTCGGTCGAGAGGCGGCGATGCGACAGCTGGCCCTGTACACAAGGGCGTGGCCACCTTTATCCGAAATAATCGGCGGCGCGCATCGGCGAGCGAGGCAGGACCGGCGGAATAAAGCGAAGAAGCGCGGCCGTCGCGCTAATTATCGCGAAAGTATCGAACCGCTAATTGCAGAAGACGTGCGCGCGCGCGCGCGCTGACGCGCGCGCGAGCGAGCGAGCGAGTCATTGACCTTCGCTTCTGGCGAAGAGTTTCGTTCGTTCGTACGTTCCGGCCCGCATCCTTTATGTCTCCGCAGGCAGGTACGCAAGTGGCCGCAGAAATGTGCTTTCGTTCGAGCGACGAGGCCCCCGAGTGCTTCATTTTTCTTCGTCGCGAACGTCAAGTGGCGTCAACGACGCGTGATATTATCCTTGTCGTCGGTTTATGGCCAGCGCGCGTTATCCGGATAAGAGAACGCTCGCGAATAGGAACGAGAAACGCGCCGTACGTTCGCTTGTTTAAAAAAAAAAAGAGAGAATAGAAAACCCACGGTTTGTCCCGCGGGCTAATTCTAAGAGATAAAATTCTCGATTCTTTCAGACGAATCCCGAGGATTCGAAGGATTAAACGATAAGACTCGTGACATGGCTTTTCTACACATTTCTCTTATCTTCGCTGTACACTCCTTACAGCCTGCGCAATCTCGTCTCTCGGTTTTTTATTTGCGCTACTTTGTTCTCCTCTCGAATGGCATCACGCAGGTCGCGCGTCCCGTGACGTGCTTACGTCCGCTCGACGTTCGTAACGTATATATAGTGAAATAAGAAAACATGCTACTTAGTGCACACGCGTTTCATTTATTAGATTCGCGGCGAAGCCCTTGTAGATAAAATTAAACCGCGGCAAAATTGAATTTTGTGCCTTAACCGGCTTCTGCGGTGTCCGGCGAAGCTGCACGGAAAAAACAATGTAGCTGCTGTAGCTAAAACTTAGCAAAATAGGGACAGCTAATATTTTAGTTGTGATAGCTCAATATTTTGCTACTGTGCCTATTGTATTAGGTGCGACAGCAAACGGTTTGCTGTCGTAGCAAAATATTGAGCTATCACAACTAAAAATATTAGCTGTCCCTATTTTGCTAAGTTTTAGCTACAGCAGCTACATTGTTTTTTCCGTGTGGCTACTTCGTCGCTTCTCCATAAGTCACGTGCAGATCGTGATACGTATACCTCCGCGCGTGGCGCGTGCCTGTAAAGCTAAATTCGCTGTTAATTGCCAGACATCATTTTCAAAACTCTCCTCTCCGTGGCCCGCGGAGCGTAGAGACGTTCCGTATGTTTATCTCTTCATTATCGAATTTTGCAAAGAGACTCGTGTGCCATAATTGTATTATATTACTTGCACCATCATATTCCTACATTTAAGTTGCTACTTAGATTTGTAACGAAAGCAGTAATTTGGTAATTAATTAGCTCGACACGTGAAACGGCCGATCCGTTTTATATCCCGAAGATATAAATTATCTTCATAATTCGACGCGTAATAGTATTCCCTGCATCCTCGAGGGAAATGATCGGATTGTTCCGGCGTTTGGTCCGTCGACATTTACGGTACTGATCAAATGATATTGCCAACTGCCTCATTTGCCGAAAATTGATTCTTAATCGGCGCTCAAATATACGTACAATACCGGCCAAAATGATATCACCTTTAAATTAGGTTTTCCTCAGCATAATTTTCGTCAAAGTGCATCGAACGTGCTCAAAATTTTACAGCGGACACCTGATAACAGGTGCATCGTGTACATGAAGGGTAATGAAATTTGAAAAAATACACCGTGATTCTCGAAGTTTTCATTCGTGTACTTTAAAACTACACAGGAAAAAGTCTTTGAAAATTTATTTGTGGCATATAATGTTTATTTCACTACAAATACATTTTCAAAGACTTTTCTCAGTGTAGTTAAAAAATCCGGTGCACTGAAAAGAAAATTTTCGCTACCGTAGCTAATCATGGTTCGCTAAAAACATTTTGCTGCACTGAGACCTATTTCGTTGAATGAAACGAAATAATTTGATTGAATCATTTTGTTGACTGAACATTCAATTTGGTTGTATAAGACGAAAAATATGTTGCTGAAAAGGAGTTAAATGTTACAACAACTATTTTGTTTCCATGAGTTCTTTATTTGAACAAAATTTTATGGTTGAGATAATAAATTCGTCCATCTCATCGCGTCCTAAATAATTGTGTTTGTTGCGTCAACTAAATCGTTTAGTTGAATATTATAAAAGGATTCTGCGAGTGTTCACTCAACCAAATTTGTGCGTTGATATAAATTTTCCAACTGAATTTTTTTGTTGCATCAACTGAAAGATTTGTTTGCCCATGTCCAAACAAGAAATTCAGTTGAGTCAACTAAATTTTGTTTCATTCAACAAAATGGGTCTCTCAGTGTGCCATAACTATAAATTTCTAAACCATATCAAACAATTTGCTGTCGCACCTAATATAATAGGCGCAGTAGCAAAATATTTAGCTATCGCAACTAAATATTAGCTATCCATATTTAACTGAAATTTAGTTGCCACGTGCAGTTTTTAGCCACGACAGCTACACGTTTCTTTCCGTGGCAGTACCGGTCGAAATTATATCACACGGAAAGAAAAATGTAGCTGCCGTAGCTAAAAGCTGCACGTGGCAACTAAATTTCAGTTGTAAAATATGGCCAGCTAATATTTAGTTGTGACAGTTAAATATTTTGCTACTGCGCCTGTTAGGTGCGACAGCAAACCGTTTGACGTGGTTTAGAAATGTATAGCTATGGCAGCAAAATAGTTTTAGCAAATCGTGATTAGTTTACGGTAGCGAAAATTGTTTTTTCAGCGTGCAGATCTACCTGGCGGCTCGCGGCGCGATGCGGCTTCATTGCCACCCGGCGCGCGTTTTGAAACAGCGGCGAATTATGGGATTAATTGCTATATACGCGATTGTGTTAAACGGAACATCCCCGCTGATAAGTTTGCGCGAGAATTTCATAGCCGGCGACCATAATTCCACGGCGACCGCGTGCACCGCAGCCGATCTCGGCGATCTAATTTTCTCACGTTGACTGCAATCAGCGGCAGCCGGAGCTATCGCGCGGCATTTAATTATCGCGCAATCATATTGTCATCGGGACGTAATATCTATGAAACATCACGTAGCTCGGCGCAATGGTACTCTAACGCGCCATTGTACGCGAATTGAATCAGTTACTTCAGCAGGGAAAATTGCGCGCCCCGCTATAATAGCCCGGCATCGCTCATCCCCGGAATTTGCCGTTATAATTTATCCCTGTGCCCCTTTCCACCCCCTTCCCCCGGCTGTCATTCCACTTGTAATGCTTATCGGCCTTTCTTTCTCTTTACAGGGAAGAACCTGTACAATAATGAGCACGTAGCAATTAAAATGGTGAGTAAGAACCGCGCGTTTTTGTGTGGCTGCGAACACGTGAAAAACTCGGCGAACTTCCGCTGACGGGGCTCTCCCTGCTCGCTCGCTCTGTTGCAGGAACCAATGAAGTCAAAGGCACCACAGCTACATTTAGAATATAGGTTTTACAAATTATTAGGTACACATGGTGAGTATCGCTTTCACGCTGTTACACTCGGGATCTCGTGCGATAAGATTAAAGACGTGAATTTGTACTCTCCAAAGGACCGTCTACATTGGAAGTAAGCAGGAAGAAGTAAGAAAACCCTAAGGCCCGGTCTACAATGAGTTGTTAGTCAGAAGTCGGGACTATATGTCGATCCTTTCCCTTTCTGGGTGGAAGAAAAAGGACCGACATATACACCCACAGAAAAAAAGTTCCGGATCCATGTATCATAAAATAGGATCGATATAGCGCCAATCATATTTGTTCAGGGTGTCCAGTGGTCAGGGAAATCTGGAAAACCGGGAATTGTCAGGGAATTTTAGAAATCTGGAAATGTCAGGGAAAAGTCAGGCAATTTTACGATTTCTCTGGATTTTGTACATCGTTTCACATTTCTTCTGAACAATTTAAAGTTTTTAGAAAATAAACTTTTCTTTGGCTCTCACAACAGTACACTAATTTTCTGTTTTGCTAAACATCAATTTATTTATAAGCGTGGTCGGTAATTTATATTTTCATCGTCGTGTTATTTTATTTCAATGTGTTCAGCTGATTGTGAGACAAAACTATAAAAAAAAAGAGATGAATTACTAAACAGTACTATCTAAGTAAGTTGCTATCTCGTAAATTGCAAACAAAATGCAGTTAAGCAAAACGAAAGCATCATATATGATTATGTATGGTATCACAAATGGTTCGAATGACTCGTAATGATATGCTCGTTTGATATCCTATGTAATGATATCCTATTACACAATGTATTATACATAGATGGTATAATTGCTTTAATTTAAACCCGAGAAAAATATTTCAAGGGCTTCGTCATTTAACATTCGCTTGATTTACCATACAGATGTACGCAAATTATGCATCTTGAAAAAAGTTACGCTAAACGGCCAGGTAAAAATGAATTCCGGCTCCTGGAAAACCTGAAAAAGTCAGGGAATTTTTCTCATTGAGTTTACCGGACACCCTGTTATTGCAAAGAAAGGAATATTTTACATCTTAAATAAAAAATTGTAAAATCTAGAATAAAATGATAGTATATTCGTGCGTTGTAAGATGGGGGGAAAATTTATTCTAAACGCAAGAATATATAAACTTACATTTATAAAAGTTACTCTTGTCTCAACATAGTAGGTTAATCTTTTTTAATTCGACAGAGGAGAATAAGAATTATTGATTTCACTTTGATATTGTCTTATTTTTATACTAAATGAGGTTGCGAGAAATATAAATGCGTCAAGAATATGTTTTGCCTCGGTAACGGAAATCCTTTCTGAGGGTGTAGTTTTGACTCCTGACTAATGACTAACAACTCATTGTAGACCGGATCTTACCAGCGTAGAAGCTAAAGTGCAGGCATAGTCTTTTAAAATATTTGTAGCACTGGTCAAACCGCGTTCTAATTCACCGAGAGTAAGCGTCAGAGCTGAAGTAGGAGTGGGAAATGGGAATGATTCATTTCTTTGCTCCTACTCTTGCTTCTTACGCCAGGCTTACTTCGTCTATTGTAGACGATCCTTCGAAGTCAATGCATTATAACTGTGAATCAGTGAATGTTCACTGTTTTCAGCGATAATCAACCGATTGACTTTTAGAGAGTGGACGCGGTAGAAGGAAATTGGAGAATGCATTGAACTAAAAAAAAAAAAATTGCAATGAAAAGTAAAGAGCTGAAATATCCGCGTTAAAATATATAGACCTAGTTTATAAGGGGCGACGGAGACGTGGAAGGTGGATTATTAATTCTACGACGCCTCGAGATATAAAGTCGATAACTCTCAAATAAACGTTCCCGATACTTCGGAGTGCCGTTAATCTTTCGTCGATGACGTTGCGAGAAAATAGTCCGGCGGCAGTTCGAACTGACTTTGCACAATCTGACGCGATACGACACGCGAGATATGTAATTTACTTCAATTTTCGTATCTGAGCCGACTGGATGGACTCGTGTGAAACACTCGCGCGTGTAATTTCTGCACGCTTGACTAAAGCTCGACGCAAATTAGCGTCACGCTCCCCCACCCCTCCACCCGTGTGTCACGTCCGAAGAAATTAACGTATCCGTTTTTCATACACCGGCCAATTCCGAGCCGGGTTTTCCTATGAAATATTGAGATCGCGACAATTCGTAATTTTCAATGTCGCACATAGCGAGCCGAATCGAACGTCTAATAGCCGTGCATTTGAAAGTACAGTGACGTTCCTCGACAGTCGTGTGCTATTTTTAGCCGTCACCCTCATAATTATTTCCGTTGGGAACAACATTTCTGTATTATTTATTTCAAGAATCGTCATGTAATAATGAAACCTGAAGTTACGTTCCATTGGGAGAGCCTCACGTATTCTGCGAGGTCACTCGTGAAAAATACTCGCGAAATATCATAGTTCGGGATAATGCAAAAAGTTTCTCGCGTAAACTTCGTCCGGCGTACTTTTTCGTTTCTCCGCCCGCGCCGCGAAGCATCCACGCCGAGCGAGAAATTGAACAGAAAATTTTAGACGTCCTCCCACGCGCGCACGTATTTTTGACGTCGCTCGTCAAGGAGATCTTTCGCCGTCGTAGAATTGTACATCCGCCTGATCCGCAATCGTCGCGCCGTTCTTATTTCGTTGACGCGTTCCGCTGCGACAAACTGATAAATATCGCGCATACCGGGGGTAATCTGGGGTGTGATCTGCTTTTGTCGATCGGTATAGTTCATAACACACATATAGAGGGTATACCGGAGGTGTACTACTTCGGCCCGTGCGGGAAGTACAACGCCCTGGTGATGGAGCTCCTCGGCCCGAGCCTCGAGGACCTCTTCGACCTCTGCGGGAGGAGGTTCACCCTCAAGACAGTTCTCAACATTGCCACACAGCTCGTAAGTCGCATTACCGTTAACACTTTCGGCCCGCAGAACTAACTCTCAGACACCGCACTTCGGAGGTCGATCTCGAACACCGGACTTGGGTGTTTGAGGTCCGGCAAGTGCCGCGGACCTCGAGCGTCGTGCATTCGCTGCTATCTGCCCTAACTCAGGAAAAAGTCTTGACTCGTGAAACATTGAAAATTGAGTTATATCCATCTTGTGGCTTCTCTAGCTTTTATTCTCTAAGCTTTCTCTGGATAAAACGGCCTCCATCTCCACTCCTAGTGTTATTAAATTGCTAACAAAATACACCTCGAGCACCAAACTTAACTCAAAGCTAAAGAGAAACGCCTAAAAAATGTGGTCAAAATTAACGAAAATGTAATATTAGATTGTTGATGTATAATTGTAATTCATTATTGCAATTAAAATAAATAATAATTTCTTAAGTTACAAAATTTCTTAATAGCGTCAGTCAAAGTTGGCCGTTCTGACAAAAGTTTATCTCTTAATTAGAGTTAAGGCTTTCTTTCCTAGGAGGGTAGAGGTTTCGCCTAAGAGAAACTCTATTTCTTCCCATCCGAAGGACTTGTTTGAAAATAAAAAATAAAATGGCCAGTTGCGACGGTAATAAATTCCACCGCGAGAAGAAAATCTGTAATTTTGCTTAGGCAGAATAAAATGTACAAATATGCCTTTCTTTTTTCCCCAACAGCTCCATAGGATAGAATACGTTCATAGTCGGCATTTGATATACCGCGACATCAAGCCAGAAAATTTTCTGATAGGACGATCCACTACCAAGCGGGAAAAAATCATTCACATAATCGATTTTGGACTAGCCAAAGAGTACATAGACCTGGAGACGAACAAGCACATACCGTATCGGGAGCACAAGAGTCTCACCGGCACGGCGCGTTACATGAGCATTAACACGCATCTTGGCAAAGGTAACGGACGTTTACTTTTGTTTCGTCGGGTATATGTATGTGTGCGCACGTGCGTGCGTCGCACATAACGAACCGCCACGTGCCGAGCCTTCGCTGGCTCGAGAGAAAGCGCGGCGAGTGCTTTAATCAGCAGGTATCATGAGATTTTCAAGCCTGAAGTAACACGAAGTTATTTAAATTTTAATAGTCTCTCTAAGTGTGGAATTACACAGATACGTACCGAAGATTTAACTTGCGACGCCTGCATGCTGAAGATGAAGCCGCCGCGAATATATCATTTTTATGACGCGCTTCCTCGAATTTTTGTTCGCTAGAATTTTTGTGTCGGGAACGCGGAATGAAATTTTTCATCATGTAGATAATGCGAAAAGCTATGCGAGATATGTAAGAGGTATGCTTTACCGTAAACAGAGCAGAGCAGAAGGGACGACCTGGAGGCGTTGGGCCACATGTTCATGTACTTCCTGCGCGGCAGCCTGCCGTGGCAAGGGCTGAAGGCCGACACGCTGAAGGAGCGCTACCAAAAGATCGGCGACACGAAACGAGCGACGCCGATCGAGGTGCTCTGCGACGGCCATCCCGAGGAGATGGCCACGTACCTGCGCTACGTACGCAGGCTGGACTTCTTCGAGACGCCGGACTACGAGTACTTGAGGAAGCTCTTCCACGATCTGTACGAGAGACGTGGCTTCGTCAACGACGGCGAGTTCGACTGGACCGGCAAGACAATGGTGCGTGTCGAGTGATCGTGACGATCCTCGGTCTCATTGTTTATTCACGTTGTGCAAAGAGCTTTTGCAATAAGCTTTCCCCGGTGGACGTCACGTTCGCGCATTACTTTTTATCCGGTAATCCGTCAAAGCAGTGACGTCAATGCGTGCATGTTAACTTGTTTGTTGTATCGGGGAACGTCGGTGATAACGGTCGTTGTTTCAATACGAGAAAACGAATCGACGACTGAACCGTGACGTGATCTTGCATCGACTCTATCTATAGTATATTTTTCTGACCAATAGTGCATAAAAAACGAGGATTTTATCGTCCGCCTCGTATATTTGTGAGCAATCTTATGTAATTAGAATCGAATCTTTGCCTGAAAATGTAAAGATTGCAAAAATGACGGTAACAATATTTGCGAGCGAGCCGAGACACGGTGCAAAGTCGTTACGGGTTCTTGTTTTACCGGCAAAGAGTTCTCTTCCAAATTATCTCCGTTTCCTGAATTCCTGAATTGTAATCTTGTTTGTCAGTCGTGATTTTCTAAATGAAATTGATCGGGGAAAGATTGAGACAGCTGGGTAAGTAAATCGCCCGCCTATATATTCCAACAGACCCGCGACAAAGAAGCGTGCGGTACCGAAGAGCAGTTTCACATTTGATTTTTAACGTTTGCATGCTGCCTTCCCTCTCAATGCACTATCTCTAGCCACCCAACTTCGAGAATCTGAGAGCGCTGCGGATGGCGGCCCCCTCGCATATCGGCAGAACCAAGTCCGACAAGGTTGGTGATGGCCTCTCGAGTAGCGACAGTAATCTGACGCCGCAGATAACCGCGGCCGAGTAATTGAGCTTCGATATCTTTGCGCGTTGCAACGTAATCGCGTATCTGTAATCCTTGGTGTAGTAAAGTACCGCTGCGTTTTGTCACAATATTCTAACTAATCGCCGCCACTTGTCGCGGCCGACTGGCCTTACGTACATAGGGATCTAATGTGATTGTGATGTCACAGGTCTTCTGTTAAGCCTAATTTAAAGTGCACAGTCCGTCAATAAGTCTGTCTGTCTGTCCGCTTTCCAGCTTCAAGTATGTTATCCATATATCCTCGTGAGATACGTAGAAGCGCGCGATAATGGCGCCCATTACAGACTTTCCTGCGCTACACGGTGTATATATAAAGCAAACGTTTTCTCTCTCGTTACAGTCCACGCCCGTCGGATCCCTCCAAACCGGCCAGGAGATCGTCGTATCACCGAACCGCGATCGGCATCCCGCCGCTTACAAGGTATTCCTTGTTTTCTTTCGTTTCTTTCGCCCTTTTCTTTTCACTTCTCTCTAAGCCAAAAGCATGGACGTGTGTAGCCCATTTGTTATTCGAGTTAACCGCATGGATACACGCCTCTCTAGTAGCGAAAGAACCGAAGACAGAGTTTTAACAACGACCTTGATTCAGAAACTTTTATCTCGGCCCAGAGATACAGATCGAACGAACAAATTTTGCGGCGAAATACCGCGCGCGCGCGCGCGCCGATATTGTGTAAACGGAAGAACACACGCAATCTATTGCCGGGTCTCCCTCGGCACGCGAGCCAATACGCGAATTTAACGTAGGCGTCAATTTGTAGGAGTACGATGATTTTGAGGAGGATGTGATCCTCATGATGGACGAGGTTCGCTTCGAGTTGCAAGGCCGATATGTAAGCCATTCCGTAGGTTACGCTCGATGAATCGACTTCTTCATGCATACTTTATCTTATCAGCGGTGGAGATGACTATATAGTCGGAAAGATACCCGCGGTCACATTTTATAATGCGCGTTATTAATGTTTTTCTGCTCGTAAAACAAGGTCGCGCGAGGCTTAACGATCGCGGAGCGTGAACTCTGCGAACTCGCGTCACCTTAGATCAATAGTCGATTAACGGTTTGATAGCGGCAATAAATTTTCTTTCGCGCAATTAGAGTGACGACTAAATATAGACGATGGATCGTGACGAAGTCACGCGTTGAAGGCAATACGCGGTTCAATTCGAGACCCGCGACGGCGATAAACTCATGCACGAAGAAGTAATTTTGCTGCCACGGTTGCCCGAGTAGCTCAGCAGCTTGTAACACAGCTAGAGCCAGGAAATACGTTGCGTCCCTCCTCGTAGCTCATTCGAGTGAAATGTGTATAAATATATTTGACGCGTAGATAATAGCGTACATCTCATTTATCAGAGAGCGAAGCGCATTTTCATCCCCTGCCTAATGTAGAGATTTGATATCGGATTAGGTCAGTCTCGAATTAGATTAATCTTAGCGCGCGGCCCTCGCGTTTTGTCATCACAGATTGCCATGCTGTACGCTCCGAAAGACTTCTCCCTCGGGTCTCTCTCCTCGACATCTGTTTTTGTTTATTCTACCGTCCTTCGCGTTTATTCGCGGAGTTGTTTAACGCGACGCAACTGCGAAATTGTCATGCTTGTTCCTTCAGGATGTGGCAGGTGGAGGGGTGGGAGGTGGGGGCGGTAAGGGGGTGGGAGCCACGTGGCCAGATACTGTGAAGCAATCAGGAGCCGGTGGTACATTGACACCTGCTGACAGGCACGGTTCTGTACAGGTGAGTTTACCTCCGCATCTTCCGTCCTTCCTCTCTCTCTCTTTCTCGTGCCATTTTCTCAACTCTCCAGAAGCTTCTCCCTCTTTTTCGACTTTCTTTGCATCTTCTTCGCCTCTTATTTACAGCCGATTAATATGCAGCCGCGAGGGAAACGCGATTTTTAGACGCGACGTTGAAACTCGCGCGTTAAATCTACATTAGATACCTGATCTCATCTCGTACACCCTTTTCCCCCGTGAAATCCTCTAAAGTTTATAAAGATACCACGTGATGTGGGAAGATCGATCCAGGGCGAAATTATTCATCATTCTTCCCTAACTATCATCTTTCTCGTCTCACACTCTCATAACGTCGACGTATATAGGATACCTCAATTTATCAGGAAACTGTTCGCTCTATTTCTAGACAAAAAAGCACCACTGGATTATGGTCAGTTAGAAGTCTGTGCAATTTGACTTGTTGCGGCATGTTGTCTTTTGTGTCGTTTGTGAACGAGACTTACCTTCTTTCTTTAATTGGATATGAGAAACTAATCCGGTATTAGTACAGATCACTTGTCCTCCCATGCACTTGCAATAACAGAAGTATCATCGTCACGTACGAGCCGTATGACACTTGAGGAATATCAAATTTTATTACTTACGCTTCTTTTATTCCTTTAGTATATCGCTTTATTGAATCTCTATGTACCAACAGTAGTGTTGTCTCATGTTAAATTCTCATTTTTCACTTCCCCCCCCCCCCCTCTTTGCCACGTAAGATCTTACTCTTGGTTCTTTGTGTAACTTGCAAGTAGACTTTGGATAAATCGATTTCCGATGTGTGTGTTACTTTATCATCAAATCCAAGTAGAGTGCAGAAAGGACTACTTTCCTGATTTTCACGTTCAATATAGTATTCGAAACGTACAATCTGTATAGTCACGTAGAAAAGTCCCTTAATGTGAGACCTGTATATTCGTTTTCGTTTTCTGTGCAATAACGTTGTACGTTGTGTACAGGTGGTATCGTCGACTAATGGAGAACTGGCCAATGATGACCCGACTGCTGGCCACTCCAACACACCAATTACAGCACCTCAGGAAGTGGACATGATCGACGAAACCAAGTTAGTAGCAGTTTGTTTTATTGCAATTCGTCACTCTCTCTCTCTCTCTCTCTCTCTCTCTCTCTCTCTCTCTCTCTCTCTCTCTCTGTCTGTTCTCTTAAATACGCATAAACTTATGAAACGAATGAAACTGAAATTGCCTGATAGATTTCCGTCGCATTTTATTATTCACATACGCGCGATTCTGAAATTTTATTAGTACAATTTTAATTAATTAATTTGAGAGAAAGCCTTAGTCCAAATTTCGACTGTTAAAGGATTAAAATAATAGCAGCTTATATTTTTAACATCAAAAGATGTTAAAGATACAAAATGCGAAATGAAATTAGATATAAAGACGTTCGATCTAAGCTATGCATGTATGTGTGTGTGTGTTATTTTCAGAAAAATAATCCGACTAAAACGGAAACGTTGTTCTCGATGTGGAAAATTGTCGTTACGTTCTTTACAAGCATACATTTCCAGCACCTATCCTACCCTCATTCCCGAACTAGGCTTGTTACATCGACTGAAATGGCCAGTTCAAGATTTTCTATTCTGCAATATAAGAAGAAAATATAATATTTGTTAAGTGTCATTAATGGTCGATTATTATCGAGGAAACCTTATTGCTAGACTGATAATGATGAGAAAATCGGTGATCGTGCCGTGAACAAAAGATAAAATTACGATAAGGTGAATATTATATTTGTGATACGATGCTTTTACTCTAGAATAAAAATATTAAAACTACGTACAGTATTTAAGTTTCGCTATTTGTACTCGCAATACAAATCATGTCTACAATTTATGTAAGATGTAGGGGCAAGATTTGATTTGATAATGTAGAGATAATTGTTATTATCGCACAAGGTAATCAATGTTTCTTTATTTCTTTTTTTTTGTATTGTCTAATGCGGAGACTCTCTCGCTCTCTCTCTCTTGACTGTTATATCGTTACTACTACTCAAACAGCATAGATCATTTGAGAGAAAGACTTTTATTAATTTATTTACATGTAATTTAGACATTTTTTTAATCACACGCCCTATATTTTCAATTATGCTGTACTGATGTATCGAAACAATATATTTCTTTATATTTGGCGCAACTGTAGTTAAATATCGGTATTATTTTTTTTATCCCGTATTCTCTAAACTATCCTGACGTTTTTATTCCCTACTCATTCTGCTGTGAGCTTCGATGAAATCAAATTAACAACTGCATGATTAATTAACGTAACAAATAACTGTCTACATTTACACGCAATCAGATAAGGTATCTTGCTGAGAGATCGATAAATTTCTTTCTCTTGTATTGTTTGCCGAATGCAACTATTGTCCCATCTCCTCTGCATGCTCGATGTGTTGCTCGACGAAAGACGCTGCCAAGGGGACGACTCTAAGTCCTATTAGTGTTTGCTTCATTTCCAGATGCTGTTGCTTCTTCAAGCGCAAGAAGAAGAAAAGTGGAAGGCAGAAATGACTGTCCGTTACCGTTGGTCTCGGGGGGGCGGTGCAGTGCGCGGGTAATAGTGCTGACGAGACCGTGGGAGCCGTCGCCACGACGTCGAGGACCGGCAAGCGTGGTGCGGGGACGGGAGTACGTGCGGGTGCAGGTACAGCAGGTGGTATCGCAGGCGGTGCCGATCCCGAGAGAGAAGCCGTCACCCTGCTGCGCGTCGGCAGCCGATCCGCGTCACGGGACTCGGTGCTACACACCACCGTCACGATGACGCCGACGCCGACGCCGCCGCCGCTGTCGAACTGAATCATCTTCATCATCTTCATCACCACCACCACCACCACCACCACTATCATCATTACCACTACCACCACCACCACCACCATCACCATCACCATCACCACCACAACCACCACAACCACCACCACCACCATCACCACCACCACTACCACCACCACCATCACCACTACCATCACATAACCATTCTACTACCGTCGCTGCTATTATCGTTAATTGGACGGTTGCGCGACTGAATCGAGATGGAGAGAATGAAGCTGCTTTTCCTCTGGCCAATCGAGCTGATCTCTTCGATAAATAGGCGGACTCGCTGACGACGATTCAGACACTTACTCCTCGGTGTAGTGAAATTCTATAGCAATCTCAATACCGTTGCGATTAGAATTAACTTGACTATGTGTTACGATGAAAGCGTGGTCAATTATCGACTTTACTTAACTAACTCTGTGCTCAGAAAACTTGATACGTTGACGCCAGACTTTTATTGAGCTTTGTTAGCAGCTGCCAGCTCTTTCTTTTAGTAGAGTACATTCGGAAAATGACTAATAAACGATACATTCTGCGACTAATGTAAAAGCTCTCTCGGCAAAAATTCAGTTGTTCATTCAATCTCTAGTCAAGACTGACTTTTTTGTAATTGATACATTCAATGATGATGAAATTCCCACGTAAACTTTCACTCAGGTCAGTCGATACAGCTCTAGCCATTGGTAACCATCTTCTTAGATGCGCCTCACACGCATCTTGCAGTTTCATTTAATTCATGCCCTTCCCTCATTCTCATAAACAGGCTGATGAATATCCCTTGTGGCCTTGAGCCACTGATAGAAGTCAAGACGTTAGCGAATCCACTTACCTACTTACTGAATAAATCCTCTCGTTTAGCCAAGAAAAGTGACCTCGTGCTATTAGATTATTGCTACTATTGTCATGATTACATTTCATCTTGTTGCTCTGTCCACTATCCACTACTATTACTATTTACTATTGCTACCATTACTACTATTAGGTACTACGATTACTATTATTATAATGATTATCCTTCATTATTTTATTTTATTTTATTATCATTATTGATATTATTATTATGTTGATCATCTTTATCGTCATTATCATAGTCGTTGGCCCATGATTGTCATCGTTTTTCCATTGCCGTTATCATCATCATTATTCCCATTATCCTCACCCGCGTTTATTAATTACGTTGTTATCGATGTCATCAATGTATTGACACGTCGCTGTTGACTGAGAACGGTCGTCGGCCGTGACGGCGGCCAAGACGTTTCAGTGTCGGGAAACCGGATCACATCCGCATTACATAGGAGTAAGAAGGAATTGACGTACCGACGTTGAGAGAACTTGTTTGTGCCTACGACTCTCTTCTTGTAACACGGCGACGCTTTTTAATACACCGCTGTGTCGTGCGATGGATACACGTTGGCGACTCGTCGTGCGATCGCATGTATATCTGTGAATTATAACGAATTGAAGCTACCGCAGATCTCATTGTATTCACAGCCCTGCAGGATGAGCGAGCGTAGCGTGTTCCCGAATCTGTTGCGTAATCGAGACTTCGATTGTCGCCAAGTCTGATTATAAATCCTCTTGAAAGGCATGAAACTGAAAAGAACGGGAAAACGACGATCGCGGGTGCCACTGCCCGGCCCTCGGGGCAATGGAATTGAGACGTCGGATATCTGTAAATAAGCGCTCTCATTTTGCCCTCATCGCGTCCACGGATCATAAAGTCATGCGCTTCACGAAAACGCGAGAGTATATAGCGCTGTGTATAAAGTGAAAGTTCGTGCTTTCCCGATTGTACTAGGTATTTTTCTTTTTTATTTTGATCTTTTTTTTTAATCCACCGTCCAAGTGAATGATTGATTCTGATGCATTGGAATATTTATATTAGAGGTAACTTGTAGCATGTACGAGCCTTCCGTATAGTAAATGACTTTTATATAACTTTAATCTTGAGTTACATATTATAGAGGATGTGAAAGAGCAGTTTTATGGCATATTAATTGAATAAACGCTCTCGAGATAATACTGAGCATCGTGTCCGTAACTAAAAGTCCGTACTAAAGTCTAAACTCATCCCAGTGCGTTAATTGTCGAAATGGTTTCTTACACTGCCTATGTTTTTCACGAGAATCAATGGATGCACGATAGTTCATAGTAATCACTTGTACGGATCGTAGCCAATATATATTAAGGAATGTTTCGCTGTGAGTTCCTTCAATGAAACGCGAAATGTCTCTTTGAATACCGTGATCACGATTAACGTTCGTGTTATTATTTATAACAATTGCCCATCCGCCCGCCCGCTGCGTAATTTTTTAAATACGGTGACGTAAATCGCGCACAGTTTCTGTGCTACATTTTTTCAAAGCAATACCATGGGTTTCGGTTTCGTGCCTTCCAAAGCGAAATTTCATGTGAGAAAGTGATCAATCACGATGAACAGTTGAAACAATTACATTTTACATAACATATCGCTGAAGTAAGGTTTTTTCTGTCTGTAGACTCTATAGCCGTATATAATGAAAATTTAGTAACGCGTAAATGCGAGGAAATTATGTGACATAGCCGAAATTATATGACATTGCAGTCAATCTCGTGTTCCACCACCAGTGTGTATCGATAAAAAAAAGAAAAGGGAAAAGAAAAAAAACGATAAAAGGAACAGAAAAGAGAAGCGTTTCTTTCGATATGAATTATCCTCTGCGAAAAGAGTGCGACGTTCGCGTATAGCTCTTGTTTCATGATCCAGGCGCGTTTTTTTATTATTAAAGAGGACATTGACGAGCAAACGAGAAGGAGATCTCGCAGGGAGGATTGATCCGCACAATTTCTTTTGGGAGGTAACGAGCCTACGGGCCCGAGTTCACCACTGCGGACATACACATTTACACATTGCACACACATATACACATACACTTTCCGACTTAATATCCCATTCTTCGAGTGATTTCCAACTGCGTTTGTGTGTTCCCCTCTTACGATCGAGACTGGCCGTATTGCTCTTCGTAGGAAGACAGGTGCCATTTTATCATGAAGAAGGAGAAGAAGAGAGGAAGGAGAGAGTCGGGTGTGTCCACGCCAAGATTCTATTTCGATGTTCTTGATATGAAAACCTACGTCATCGGAATAAATAACGAAAGCTGGAACCGAATGTACGTGATCTTCATCGAGACGGATCGATCTCGAATGCGAAACAGAAGGGATGAATCATCGAGTACGGTGTACATGCAATAACGTAAAGATTCGCCGTAACAAACTCTCTCTGCTGCGAACACATTTAATCCGCTATTTTTCATGATGCAACGAGGAGAGCCTTATGTCGCGAGGCGTTTCTAGGGATTTGTACAAAGTGGCATGCGATTTTTCTGCTAATGGCTCGCGACGAAAAATTTAAGCGATCAAGAGACAAACTAGACGAAAATATGTACGAGAACCCGGAGAGCATGGAAAGCGAGGATCTCATCAGCCGCATTGATCAGACCAGCAAGTAAGGATATTTGATTATGACTGTCTATCATTATTTACTCATAATTGCTCATTTACACTCGATTTTGTACAAAACTCTCGTTTAAATTCGACTGTAAACAAAAATTTCATAAATTTGTAACATTTCTTAAGGTATTAGAATCGGCATTAAAAAATTCAGGGAAGAATTCGTGAGCTTGTTATATCCGACGTTAAGAAAAAAAATTCGGAGATTGTACTAAAAATGCATCAGTCTTTTATGTGATAAATTTCTAGGATGCCCATTTGTCTCCCGTCTTTAGCGTCTCCCACGGAGAACGTTTCCCGTTAGACTCGTGTTACTTGTTTGCCCAAAGGTATAAGTTGAACTCAGGTCTGTCTCTTTTTGCAGGAACACACGGTAAACGGCGAGTCGAGCGAGGAGTAGGAGCGCGGAGGTGACAAATACTAAGGAGCTTGCGTTACGTCCAATGGTCCACACCCACACCCACGCCAAATCTTGGCCGATCCCGACTTCGTCATCGCTCCCGAGATGTATATGCACATACGTACCGTACTATGTGTAATACGCCCCGTACACCACGTTGTACCCACGTTGAATATCTTAAATACCCAGCGAGCGCGTCCGACAACAGGAAGCCCATGTACTTACGGAGCTATCTCGCGTACTCGAACCGTACGTGCTCTCGTGCGATCAAAGGCAAACGGGAGAGACGGGGGAGAGGGAGAGAGCCGCTCCGTCAAACGTTTTGAAAAGTGATACGCTTAAAAATCATAGAGATCATAATCCACTCTATAGATTTCATTCTCTCCCTCTCTTCCCCCCTCTCTTTCTCTCTCTCTCTCTCTCTCTCTTTCTCGTTATCTGTCTCGTGTTATCTTCCCATTGTTGACCGAGCATCGTTCCTTACTTTTGTAAGCTCGTCAGCATCGCGTCGGCGAGCGAACGATCGAAATCAGTTAGTCGTACGTTTATATCCAGCGGACGCGGAACGAGAGTGAGCGATCCAACGAATGCCTGATGCTGGATGATATCCGCGTGTGTGCAGAAAGAGAGCGAGTCGAGAAGAGACATTATTTCTCTGTAGCTTCGCGCAAGTCGTATCCGTCTGTATACTTGTACATAAGATTCGCCGGACCGCGGTCGTCGCGCACGTGAATTATTTGTTCGCGCGCGTACGCGAATTGTCCCTCGCGAGTAGAATTTGTTTGCGCGAATAAATCCAATAGCAAGCGGTTACATATAACTTTAATTCCCGATCGGGCGAGGAGAGCACGTGCGTATATGCGTGCGTGTGCACGCGAGAGATCCACGTAGACGCAATGCGGAAAGAGAGAGAGAGAGAGAGAGAGAGAGAGAGAGAGAGAGAAAGTTTCCAATATTTATATCATTGTCCTGCCACCGGGGAATCTGTGCTGGCGTAATTATAAAATAAATTCCGCTGTGCAACCATGTTGCGCGAGGACGTTTAGCCCGTAGTTTTTTAGCCGATTTTTCAAAGCGCGCGCGCGCAAAGTCACGATTTTTAATATAACACGACTGACTGCTGGTTAAGTATGGTTGTGAGCAAAAGTCCTGGTCTCTTCGGACATTGTAGACACACACATTACATACTTACACACATTACATACATACATGCATACAGAAAACATCTTTCCAGTTCCCTTAGATACGTACCCTGCACGAAAAGAAGAGCGATTGTTGCATAAGTGCTTAGGATGTGGGTATTAAGGCTTGTAATTCGAAAACGACCATCTCCTTTGCTCGAGAGAACTTTTTCTTCTTTTTTTTTTGTATATTTGTAAATTGGTACGAGTAGAAAGATCGGGCCAGGACCGATATATCCTCGGTGTCTTTCATTCCACGGCTCGTCGGTCGAAGAGCGGCGTATACAGCGATAAATGTGGTCGTGCGTATCTGTGAAAAAAGTGAGGCTGCGTAATTAATTATCTTGTTGCGTAAAGCGAGAAAGAGAGGAAGAGATACTTATTGGATGATCGCGTGTTTTTCCCTCGTGTGTTGTGATCGTTTAGCTGCATACGTCGATTCGGCGATGTTGGAGAGGTGTCGATGGGAGACTCCTGAGATTAAGTTAATCAGCACTATAGTTTCTCGCGTAGTGAGGCTTATGTGTATACATTTTTTGACTTACTATATGTTCGTACTGTTTTAATGGACGAATTGTTGAACAATAAAATCGCTGATTGCTACGATAACAATAAATCGCCGTTTTTATGAGATTTGGCAGCTCGCGCGCGTGGACGTGCGTATCCACGTGTGTTTGATATCATATTAGAGCGCGAGATTCACGAGACGCGATCAGCACAATTAGATAGAGGACCGTGTGAGTTTGTGCCGTTAACTGATACCGCTTGTTGCGGTCACACAAGAAAGAAAAATTAAGTAAGGAAGAAAGAAAGATTTTTTAAACGTACGCGCAAAGCTTGCATTTACTACGATGCGTCTATATGATAGCTACATCGTGAGATTTTATTACAATATTATTATGCGAGACTGGCATCCTTGTCATAATTTACACTTTATTAATTAATATATGTTATTGAAAACAGACGTATTCTTTATGAGATTATAAAGTTGACGGAACAAAAACGGGATAACAAATTTGTACTAAATACGGATTTATTTCAAGTGCTAAGCACGATCTACCTACGAGGTTACATTATCTCGCGATTTTTCAACATAAAGTCGATCAACATTACGTTCTTTAATGAAATTCAACGTTGCTCCCCCTTCAAGTGGATTCATTTTCTTTCCGCTTGCCTTCTGAACCGATCCGAGACCGAGCAAACTTGTGTACATAGCGATTATATTGTTTTAGTACTATTATAGTGAGAATTGTGTTTGCACACGTGCTCATATACATATATGAGTGTGTGACTGTGAAAGTTAATTAATTAAGCTGAGGAGAGTGGTCTACATAAAAGGAAAAAAAAACTGACAGTATATGTATATATAACGAGACTGAACGACTACATTATATACATCGGACCATGAAAGAAGAAACCGATTGTCTTACATTTGCATTTTGTCATGCAATTATTATTATTATTATTATATAATATAACGCGTCATCATAATTACGCGCGAAAAGAAAACGAAAGTCTCCCAATTGTACCGATTCTAACGAAACGGATATGTACATCTCTCTCCCCCTATAGCGAAGATTTTACTATATATATACGTAAGCTGTGATTACTATCATAATTTTTAACTTATATTACAATACCGATTATGCTTTGTTTAACAATTAACTTGTACGAGACCGTCTGGCAAGGCGCTTTAATAGGAGAACTTAAAAAAGAAAAAGAACGAGAGGAAATAAGAAAAAGACATTGAAACTTGCGTGGAAGTTTATTCTTGTAAATATGTGTTGTGTCTATTACGCTTAGCGAGTAAGAAAAAAAAGTTCTTAATGAAAGTTCCTGCGTACTTCCGAGATTTCTTTTATTCTCTGTCTTTCTCTCTCTCTCCGTTACTTTGCGACATCTTCACTATCGTTTCGACGTTTATCAATTCTCTATTATTCTCCAACATCTCCAGCATCGGCTCCTTCTCTAGCAAGTAACCGGACACCGCTATGAAGTTTCGAATGAGCTTCTTCATTACATTTATCTTTCGTATCGTTTGTTCCATTTTGTTTTTACTTCTGGGGGGAAAAAAAAGAGACGAAAATTTTAAACATGAAAATACTTGACGAGATACGTCTTGATGTTTTTGTATCTCCACTCACTCCGCAATCCCGGGATTCGTCTTCTGCAGCCTCTTGCTTCGCAGTTGCTCCTGCTCGTTGAGAAAATTTTTATAATCGTACAGCGCCTTCTGACATTCGATTTTCAGATTCAGCCGCACTTGGGATGCTTCCTCGATTGCTTCCTGAGTGGTCATAATACTGTCGTTGAGAGTGAACAGTTTCATCATGTAGGTGTACACCTTCCTAGAAGAAAGAACAGTGAAAATTCACCGTGTCTCCTGCAGGATCACCTACAATGCGCGGAGCAAGAGAAAACGGTAGACGTAAGAAAAATGCGTGCAGTGTAAGGAAACTGAAGTACAGACCCGAACAAAATAAATTACTTTTAGTCCGTACATCTACCTCAGCTCTAACGCTTATGCTCGGCATTTCTCTTATTTAGTATTTCTCTTACAACGCTAGTTTTACTTCCTCCTCCAGGCATCGTAGACGAGCCCTTGAGTGTAACTAGCGTCCAGCATCGAACTAGCTTAGAATTAACAGCATCTAGGCCTGGTTTCACCGTTGTTTCACTTTAAGCTTGGCTTAATTCATCTCGTTCTAAAGCGACAAGTTGGAAAGAGACAAAGAATGAACTAAACTAAGCTTAAAGTTAAACGATGTTGGTGAAACCGGGCCTTACACAAGTTTATCTCTCACTTTTTGTCCTCCTCCGTGCCCTCCTTACTGCTAAGAATAGAGAGGATGGTGGTGCTGTGAAGGCACAACTTGACAAGCTTTGCATTCACAAGTGCCTCGCTCACGACGCTCGGCAGCGCGTCTCCGGCCTCATTCTCACTCCCTCCGCGTCCGTCGTCGATGTACTCTGTAAAGAAGCGAGAATTCAGAAGTCGCAGGGAGGGGGGGGGGGAAGGGGACACCGCTGGACGTTCCGCAACGTCGACGGACGGACGTACGTTTGTACTTGGCCAAAAGGATTAACGACCTGGCTTTCAGGCGCATCAGCGACTCCCTGGTCGTCCGGATCCTCTCCTCGACCGACCTAAAATCGTCCAGCGAGGCCGCGCCGATCGGGAACTCGTCGACCACCTCGCTCAGCCACTTCACGGACCGCTCCAGCTCATCGAGCTCCATCGTCGACGGGAATCATCCACGGGAACGTCTCGTACGAGTGCGTTTTACCCAAATGCACGGCACCCGGATTCCGTCACGATCACATGACGGGAGTACGCGTTCGTGTACGCGATCCGTTAACAGATATATCGCGCATTGTTACGCGTACAAGTAAATCACATTTCAAGACGAAATCTTCGATTCTCACAAACCGGGCCGCTGGACCGCGGGACGCACGTGGCGTGACAGTTTATTACTCCGCTGTTTGAAATTCCGGTGCAGGCGTGCCTCCTCGAAAATGAAAAATCGCCAGCACGGACCAATCGGCGCCAAGAACTCGGCATAACGCTGGATGTGTTCGAAAATGGATTTAGTTACTGCCAGTGAAAACAGTATAGTTGGGATGTGTTCGAAAATGGATTTAGTTACTGCCAGTGAAAACAGTATAGTTGGTAGCAATGAAAATTACTGGTGCTGCGTTTTTC